CCACGAGGGACCTGCGTGGCGGTGGGAGCAGCCCCGGCCCGGAGAGCTCTCGGGCTCCAGCTGCCGCGCTGGGAGGAGGGGTGCTTCATGTGCCAGGAGCACCTGTGTCGGCCAAATGGAGGCGTTCCCCCAGACTGAGCAGAGTGGGTCTAAAGTGGGTGCCACTGGTAGCGTGGGAGATGGCGAGGTGACTAGTTCCAGCCCAGCCATTTCATCTGCTCTTCTATGTCATGCTCTAAATGGAGTAGTAACTGTTACAGTCATGTATGCCTGGCTCAGAAGAGCAGGGGGTATAGTGGAGGGGGTCAGGCTCTCATTTAAAAGGGTAGACTAATCTGCAGATGTGTGGACATCTGAGCCAACTTTGGTAGTGGCCCTAGCTTCAGGTTCCTGCTGCACAAGCAAGTGGAGAATCTGATGTTGGAAGCCTTTGCAGGAAGAACATGATCTTCAGGATTGCGTACTGTACTGTCTGCCAGAACAGTTGTGGTGACTGACTGGATTTTTTTTTTTTTCCCTTGGCACAGGTTGTGAAGGAATCGCAGGTGGATGAGATTCGATTGGTGACCGGGTCCGCTGAGTCCGCAGCACTCAGACTACGTGTTCCTCTGCAGCAGGTGCAGGCCCAGCAGTCACCATTTCTGATAACTTCCACATGGATTCTGATGGCAGTGACTCTTCAGACTCTGAGGTGAGCATCCACTCTTATCCAAAATGCCTATGAAATTCAGGACTACTGTGGATTTAAGATTAGTGCCATAACTTTTGATATAAAGTCACTACATGACTTTGCATAGTTGGCTTGTTTTCCAAGTCTTGGAATGCCATCCCCATGGCTTCAAACAGTTGTGTTAAGCTGTATCCAGTGAGTACAGAAGTTCATACAACTTGAACAAGTCCAGTCTCTGTAGAATCTTAGAGGATATGGCTTGAAACAGTCTCTTAGCTCTTACAGCAGAAGTGTGCAAATACAAAAGGCATACTGTGCTCTTCCTGTTTTTGAAAACAAACGTGGCTGTTTTGTTCATGTGCTGGCACTTATCAAAGCTGTTCGAACTTAAAGCCTGTCCCTTACAAATGACTTCTAGAAATGTAAGGAGAGGCATCTTTCACCTTTTTAAAAACAAAAAACCCCAAACAAAACAAAACAAACCCCCAGCATTGGTCATGGATGGGTCTGCTTAAGCCAGGTTCTGGAACTTGGTCTGTGAAGACAGGAGGTAGCATGGTGTTTGCACCTGATGGGTCCAGGATCTTGAGTTTCTAATAGAGGCTGTCAGTATGAAATGCATGTAGAATTCTGTGAGGATTGCCAGTACCATTGGAAAAAAAATTAATGGACAAGGAATTTCTGAAAGATAAGTAATTGCCTTAACTGACTGTTCTGATAGTGGTGTTCTTGGTAAAACTCCTAGTTCTGTGATGACGTTGGCATATTTTAACTTCCAGATAAGGGTTAATAGGTGCCACAACTCATGTTTTCCTGTGACAGTAGTAGGCTGTCTTTCTAAAACAATATTTCATTCTGCAGTCTGATCTCCTGTTGGGCTTTCTGGACAGTCTGGACCCAGAGATGTTTCTCAAATGTGCTGACTCAGAGTCAACGTGCCTGGAAAAGCTGGAGGAAGAGATCTGTGGAGAAACAAATTCCATACCAACCTCCCCCTCTCCCTCTTTGGGGTCCCCATCAGCTAAGCTGGAGGCCATTAATGAACTGATAAGGTTTGATCATGTATACACAAAGCCCCTAATATTGGAGATTCCTGTTAAAACAGGCAGCCAAACCAATATGCTAGTGAAAATAGAGGAAGTATCTATCTCTCCATCTGAAGACAAAGCTATCCCTGAGGTCCCAGTATCTGTGAAAGAGGAACCTGTAGACAGCTTCATGCCTCAACTGGGCATCTCTCATCTGCTTCCCTCTCATCATAGCCTTGCAGCCTCAAGCTATCTGTTGGATGCCTGTAGTGACTCTGGATATGATGGATCCTTGTCACCCTTCAGTGACATGTCCTCTCCACTTGACACTGACCATGCTTGGGAGGATAGCTTTGCCAATGAACTCTT